ATGACGTTTGAGGTGACCTAGTTCACATTCATATTTAGTGTACATTCCCATAAAGGGAAACAGGTTTGTGAGACTTTGCCGTTTAACTTCTGAACTTTGCAGCAATTTTCGTGAAATTTGGAACGAACACTGCCATTTGAGGTGATATACAGTACGTTCTAGGCCAACGCTCCTTTAAAAAAAAATACAATTGATCCCCATGCTGTGGCCACGCCCTCCAAACTTTCCAAGCAGTAGACTGATTTCTACTTGGTTTTGTGTTTATATATGCCATTAGAGGCCACTCTAACCTCGCATTTCTTTCCTGTAACAAGCAATAACAAAATGGCGAACACTAATTTGTGAGGGCAGAGTGCTGCACAATGTAGGATTCTAAAATATATTTGGAAATCTATTTTGCTTGTTTTAAGTCAGATTTTTATTTCTGTTTCCAAAGCGTAAGGCATTCCTTATATGGGCTGCTGAGTAGATCCCTTTCCATCTTCCTGCTTCAGTGTGATCTTTGTCAATTGGGACCCACAACTGTATGAGTTTTATTGTGACATGTACTGTGATGAAAGACTTTCTAAGCTGGGTACTGTATCTTATATTTGAGCTAAAGCCTGTGATACACTACTGCAACAGGCATTTCCATCAAAAATATTATCCATGCTGAGATTTCCACTGGCAATGAAAACACTTGCAGCACTTTTGCCAACAGGGCCATCATATATTTGCCCATAACTAGTAACATGCTGTGCATTTCTGAAAGGAGATGACATCTGGAACTGAACATTGGTCACTGTTAGAACACAGCAATTTGATTGCTTGCATCATGGCAAATTTCTGAAAGCTTTGAAATGGCAGCATTCAGTGGTTGCAGACACTGGGTTTGTCTGGTTAATGAAACATTATGACCCCATCTGCAGAAGCTGTCTCTATAGCATTCAGCTTCTTTGTCTGCATTCTGTGTCAATCTAGGCAACATTTTTCTCCCAGTTATTACTCTCACACAATTAATTGCATTCAACCATTCACTAATAGCATTTTAATTGTACAGTATTCCATCTATAATGCAACAAAGTCAATCCTTTCTTAAAAGACACTAAAATATATTTAATTCTCTAAGAAGTGTTTGTTAAATGTTTTAAATGTACATTTGATGCCATTGCCATATGTTTCAGCCACACATGGACCATCATCAGGCTACACTTATTATTTGGGGAGATCACTGCACTGTACACTTTGTCCTTAGTACCCTTGGGAACATGGTGGTGGTTGTTAATTTGCTTCGTAGGATATTTTCATCCCATCTTTTTAGCAGCCATTTCAATGTGTCGTTCACTTTAGCTGTGTGTGTTCTGTGGTTTCCCCACTCCTTGTGGTAATCATGTTGCCACCCAGTTATTATCATCAGAATGTACAGTATTTGTATTCATAATGTATTAATCAACACAACAATTCTAGAATAAACAAATCAATACTACTGTATTAGTGTACATTTATTTGTGTGGAAGTACTGTTTCATGTTTCAACCCTGTCATCATCAGACAATCCTTACATGAATATGCCACTCATTATTAGATTTACTGATATAGATCCAGATCAGTGATTTATAAATTTCCATTTGGGTTTGCTTTATAATTTTAAATGTTAAATGTAAATTATAAATTTTGTTTAAAAAATAAATAAAATAGAAATTCCAAGTAGCATAAAACATAAAAATTATAATTCTTATTATTTTCCTGCCATAATGGTGTATGTCATAGAGTGTGGGTCTTTCATAGGAGCCTTGAAGCACAATAGATCACTGAAGGTCGTAGTGCGGGGACTGGTTTTTGTGGCCCACCCCTTACATACATTACATTCATAGGAGTCGGCATTATTCTTTTTAATTCCTAGTATATCTGAAAGCAAATTACCTACTTACTGTTTTGTTTAAGTTCTGTTCTATCATTACATAAAGTGATTTATGTTGTAATGGCCTCCCTGAGAGTCTGCATTTTTTAATTTCTCAATGTATCTGGAAGCACATTATATGAGTAATATTTTTCATTTTATGGATGCTACATGTACATGGTCATATAATGGAACATAGTTACCTATAATATTGTGCGGTGATCTTCTACATGATTATATATTCTATTATTTATTCATATTTGAGCAAACTATGGTGGAACTATTCTGTAACAAGAGTATATAATAGTTTGTGTTATTATACGAGTATATGTATACTTCCTTTTTTTCTATTTGGTTTGGTTCTTCACACTTACCAAACCAAAAGAAAAAAAATATATATATATACATGTATAATAACACTAAAAGTAATACATACTCTTTTTACAGAATAGTTGCACACACACACGCATTTCCTTTTTGGTTTGGTTCTTTGTACTTCCTTTCTTTTGTATGATGACATGGTACACAGTTACAGAAGTTAGATTTAACTACAGTTCTTTGCATAAATTACGCATTTCTCAAATACATTAATTTCAATTGAAAAGCAATGTTAAAATTAATATAGGCCTATTCATGAACTGGCATAGTAGGACTACATTAAATGACACTATAAATGCACATTTTAAATAAGTGTAATACAGGCAACAATAAGAATTCGCAAGTCCATGTATTTTAAAGTATGGTAGCACAAGTTACATTTAATTTACAGTAAAGTTTTATATCTCATTACACTTATTCACAGCAGTGAACTCATAATCACAAATGTAACATCAGTTACTTGACAATACTTGTAGTTCCAAATTTTGAGTTCAGAATAATCTTATACAGTTTCAAGTAACAAATGTATGATGTCATTATTCCAATGTAACTGATCCCTGAAGAAATCACAGAAAAGTATGAGTGTTGTCCTATTACATCACATTATGGATACTTACTCAATATTTACATTCTTGTAATATTCCACTATACTTTAAGACATTGGCTATTCAACAACTTTCCAAGAACACAAGTCTGATCAGATTTCCAGTTTTTCACGTTATTTTAGTTTCACTGCATTCTACATGACTGGTGAGAGTGATATGTGAAAGATAGGTATACTTGAGAGAGGCTAGACAGGTGGGAAGAAATATGTCATTTATGAGGCCAGGTTGTTGTTTGTGTCACCTGACAGTGATCCTCAGTCATGGAGCCAATATTTGTTACAGATAATGAGGGGGGGGGACACTGCAGTGTGGGAAGAAAGGGACAAAGATGAATGGTGCATACTGAGCTCAGAGCTGTTGGCTGTGTGGATGGAAAGACAGTCACAAAAGACACTGACAAACTTGAAAATGAAAACTTCTTGATGTAGGATGGAAGAACATGCCCTGTAGAAGTCCACATAAAAATTTGTCATTATTACCACAACCACACCTTGATAAGAACTTAAAGACCAATGCTGATAAAGAAAATGAATAGAACAGATACACTCAAGATTGAGGACAATAAAATAGACACTCAAGAATCAGAGTTTGCAAGTAGAAGAAGGCACGCAGGTGAAAGACAATATCATAAGTAACTCAGAGAACAAATTAAATGGACAGAGACAAGCAGCAATAGAAGATACGCTGAAAGATGTTCCGATCACAAAGGTCAGGTTCCCCTATAAACAGAATATGACTTTCTCTCTAGTATTATCAGATGCTCATATTTATGAGGTTCACAGCAAAGTCCGCCATTAATCTGCTCAATCCAGTTCACACCATCACACTCTGCATACTTAAGATACATTGTAATGTTGTTTCATATAATGTTAAATAATAATTTTGAGCAGCTGCAGCTAAATGTGATAATGCCAGATGCAAAGTATCACTGACACCCAGCTGACTTGAGGTGTAAAGATCCTGGCTGCAGCATAAAGTCTGCCAATATTATCTGTCCTGAACTAACTCAGTTCAGTCCACACCACTGTCATACTTCATTCATTCTTTACACATGTCAAGTTTTGAACCTGTCAGAATTGACAGAAAAATTTTATGGAGCAGTTCAGCCAGTTAGGACTGTCACTTTCCATAGAGGCTTGGATGTGTGTGTACACACACACTGGCATAAAGCAAGTTAAAATGTGAATGGGGACTTCTGATTACAAACAACATACTTGGTCACACATAGTTCAAGGTGATGCATTCTTATGCATTAGAACTCTTTTGGAACATTGAAATTATTTCACTGAATATGCATACTATGAGGTGGGGTGCCACCAGGAATTTTTACTGGGTTGGGCAGTATGTTCCCAAGGGGAAGAGCCAGCAAATTTGTTTACAAACATACATTTAAGTCATTCAAGGTTATTTTTACAAACTATTAAAAAAACGCTTTACTTTCTATTCTTCTTTGGTATATTACCTCGTTTTTTATTTTTTATATCTATGACGTGCAGATGCTAAGTGTCCCCCCCCCAGGCAGTGCACATGCTATGAGTGTGAAAATTTTTGGGGGTGGGGGGAAGCTGTATTTAGATTAAGTCTACAAAATACCACAGCATCTGCTATCAGGCTCTACCATCAGCACGCATGGAAGCTGGCAAGCTGAGCCTCTCATCAGCATTTCTTTGAATTAATTGCGACTGATGCAGAGAAGATTTTACATTACTTTTCCACACACACACACACAGAGCCAGAACCATGACAACTCAGTTAGAATAGCAACTAGGCTACAGGCTGGATGACTTGAGAGTCAGGGTTTGATTCCCTGTTTCTCTCCATAACATCCAGACTGGCTCTGAGGCCCACACAGCTTCCCATATAATAGGTACCAGGGGCTTTTTCCTAAGGGGTAAACTTCCACTCCCCCCATGGATCTTCATGGTGTGGTGTGTAATTAATGAAGCCCTTTTACGATGACAAACCACAATAACCATGCAAATATATGCCATACCTGTCTTCTGGTATGCAGGCTCAACAAACATTTCTTCATTGACTATTTCACTAAGATACAATTCAAACTGTAAAATAGATACTTCCACAACTTACACAAGGGCAATAATTCTCATAGGAGACTTTAAAGAACTGTACACCAACAAGGAAAGCTTCATGCTTTTAATAAAGGACTGTATAATATTAAGTACAAATACTAAAACCTATTCTTTGACAGCAATGAAAAAGTATTCAGTATACAATACTTGCTACTTTTGTTCTGACTCCTTTGAGTTCACTTACAATTGCTTTGGTCATGCTATACATCTATCAAATAAAAGCAAACTTTTATTACTAATGGCATCATGTTAACTAGACTACTGACACGTTAAGATGGTGATGATGCTGAATTTATTACTGCTGCATCTCTATTTTCTTTGCTTTTCTCTTTTTCCGTATTAGTATCTATTGCATTTTCTAATTCATCTTCATCATCACCATCTCTGTTGTAAAGTGTAGGATACTGCGCCATACAATCCTGCATTGTTTTAAATGCCTCATAACAATCACTGCCTTTGGGTTCAGCTTCACTGTAATGGAAGCAGGAAAAAGCTTCTCGAAATTCAACACCACAAGGACCTGTGGCCATCCCTCCCAAACAAGGACAGCTCCAGTTGATAGAACCATCAGGTAAAATGAGGCCAGGGGGTGGTTCATCTTTCGGTAAACTGACTGTGCTTGGTGTTGAGTGGTCTTCTTTAGTAACAAAAATTACTGTGTCCTTACCTTGCTGAACTGTTAATGGCATGGTGAATATCTTTTATATTATAAGATGTCCACAAATTTCAGCACTTTTCACTTTCACAGGAATAAATCAAAACATACATTACAAGTCTTAAATACTCAAGTACGTGTCTAAATCTGACATAGGTACAGAATACTCAGTGATGCCTGTATGTTCTGCTTGTGCCTTGTAATGACAGCAGACATGGAGAGCTATTATGAACCCTGTATGCACAGCAAACGTTATTGTACTCCCCACACAAGGTCAAAGAACTTCGCAGCTTCACATACGAGGCACTTGGGCAACGTAGGATGGCTCGCCGAGATATTTGGTCATACTTCAGTATATCAACACTTATACTTGCACCAACCTAAAGAGAAAGAGGAAATACTGTAATTGTTAAATAAATTGTTTAAACCTTAGAAAATTATGCAAGATGTTGTATGCCTAAGACTAGCTCTACAGATACATGAGATCTCTGGGAATTAATGAACTTATATCACAAATGTGTTTCCAAACTTATGATGTGATGTGAACTGGCACTTCAGTAATGGAACCAAGTGTTAATTTTCTTGCAGAGCAAAGGCAGGCCCATGTTTCACATCAACATGGCAATTTTAGTCCATTTTTATTGTAATGTTCAGTTTTTTGTTGGTTACAGTATGGGTATTTGAATGCTCCAGCCCTCTTTTAATGTGACCTTCCATAAAAGACTGAGCACCCCTAATATACTGTATACAGTGATTTTAAAAAGATTCAGTTTATGAATTGCTGGAAGATGGCTCAGGCAGTGCCATTAAACAAATCCAGAATCAACCACTGCCTGAATTAATGGAAGGAGCAATAATTTGGGGCAGAAAAGTACTGAATTAACCTTTGCCATATGGAATTGGCACCTGATGTAAGAGAAAACTTTGTCTTATTGATTAGAGAAAGCTTAATGACACAATCAAGGCAGACCAAAAATGCACAGGCTCAAGTGTTGGTGCCATGAAGTCACATCCATCTTCCAGTAAAGGTTCAACTCAATGATTACCATTACTGTAGACAAGGAAGGTAAGTACACGGGCACAAGACAATATCATCGATACAATTCCCTTCCCCTCTAAAATGATCTGTGAGCTAACCTCTCCAAAGAGCACAGTCAATGAGTGCATAACATGATTCTTGAAATATACAGCACTTATTTCTGCTGTATCTTGCTCCAGCTCTCTGAAACACAAAACTGTAGATTAACTCTCATCCTCAGGCTAAACAATATGCAATTAATGGCCCCTTTAACAAACACAGCCCTGTAGGCCACAATGGATTCTCAGAATTGAATGACTCAACAGCAACAAGTCTTCATAGTGATTTAGATGGCTTTGGCATACACCTATTAGTTCAACCCAACTAAAGAAATGGAGAAATCCCACAAGCTACAGCCTCTTTATCAGTGCCCAATACATCTGCACCATTGCTTTAAACTTGATCCAGCCCAAACTTTTGAGGCTAATTCTGTCATACCTATTTTTCGACATCACAGTCTCTTGGGATGTGACACCGTATAGTTTGGTAGATGTTATGAAGCTAACTCTGCCCTATGTATTTCTCAACATCACAGTCTCCTGAAATGTGACACCATAGAGTTTGGTAGATGTTACCAAACATTTTGAAGCAACATAAATTTGGCAGACTCTTGCATTACTATTCATCTCCCAAATTACATCACCTCAGATCCAGAAGACTAGAAGCTTCATAATATTGTGGCAATCTTAAATTTCCTATTCGTGTCTGCAACTCACCCTCCTCTTCTGAAAGACACTGACACCTTCTAAGGTCTAGCATTTTGTTCCACTTTATATTGGCTTTCACTCAACTAGGGCCATGGGGTAGTTACTTCACCCACAAGATGGACACAGTAAGGACCTCTGAAGCAACTTCTACATAGCATTATCGCCCAAAAAGAGGTTCAAATCAGCATCAAGCTGCTGTGAAGGTCTGAAATTTATCTACACTCGTGACTGATCACTTAAAGACAATTTTACTAGCAAAAGAGAACATAAAGAGAGAAGGAAAATACAATATGGAGATGCAGGACATTATGATGAATATGTTACCACTCCATAAACCACTATTTTATTCTTTTGTTAGATAAATATGAATTTACATAATTTATAATTGTCTAAATTAATTTCTAAAAACATAATGAAATCAGGGCAATGAGTGATGGAGTTATTACATGTTCTCTGGTAATGTGCAGACTTCTTCATCTCCGCGGTAATCCATATGTCTTGGTCATATGGTTGGAATTAACTGAGTTTCGAGTGTTTACCCAGGATCCAAAAATAAAACTCTGCTCATGCCTGAATGCAAAAAATAATTTTGTGGCAACTTCTTACTACTCTTATGAAGTTTAGTCATTACAAGAATAGTTTATGTAAATAATGATTTGTGTGTACTTCCAGTGAAAATTATATCTTTATTTAGTCATCACTGAAGTCAGTGAAGCATGTAAATGAAATAATATGCAAAGAGGGACATGCAAGTGAGAGTGTATCTTTATAATGCAATAACAAGCTGCAACTGTTAAATTGTAACTGTTTGTGACACCAAGTAATTACAAGTAAAATAAGAATTTACTAAGGGATTAGAAGAGGGGTCAAGGTAGCCTAGAACAGTTTTCTTAGTTTAGCAGCTGTAAATAAAATCTTAATTCATTAAATGGAATATCTGTTCAAAGTACTGTAAAACTGTTTCATAGCCAGAAACCATTTAAATAACTTTACCCCTTGCCATATACAGGGAGGTTAAATGACAGGCTGCTACAAATCTTTGGCCATTTAGGCGCAAGTGCCCACATGCCACTTGCATCAGATCAATTTGCACAAATTCAGACTTATGGTGTGGCCAACAAACCAACAGCCTATATACATTACAATTTACCTTCAATATCACCCTAAGAAACTGCACAGCTACCATGATGCAAGCTTATACATTATGTGCTCATTCACCCATGCCTCACGTTGCTTCTACTACTGTATTTGACATGTACTATAAGAAATCTTGATTCACCTGTGTTACTTCCTACATAAAATTGCCACGTGTGTTACACACAGGAACAATGAGCTTTCATGTATGATGCCTATGTGAAAAGTAGTTCAGAAAGAAGTAGAAGATACCTGCATATGATTCAGAACTCCACACAGCAGGAAAAAAATATTCACATCATCATAAATAAATTCTGACAGTCATTAATTGGTAAGAGAAAAATTAATCAAAACAACATATGCTTCCTGAAGAGAAACTGCATTAAATTGGTGTTAGACTTGAATACCCCCAAATCCTTTAAAGCCTTGCATAGGAAACTGACAATTAAAGTTTGCTCAGTCAGTAAAGAGATAGGCTATGGGCTAGACAGCTGGAATTCAATTATTGGCAGGGGCAACACATTCTTCTTTACTCCACATTATCCAGACAGGTTCTGGAGCCTCTTCTCCCAGGAGGGTGAAGCAGGTGGGGTGTGAAGCTACCCACTCACTTCCATCTAGTGCTGAGGTCAATAATACTGGAGTTATATCACCACTCCCCCATACATCTTTATGGTGCAGTGTGTAAGTGCTGAATTAATTAAGCACAGGGACAACTTTACCTTTTCTGGTTTCCATGTCATGTGAATGTGAACATGTGGAGAAGCAAAGAATGTGTACATCTACTGGGAGCATTTTGTTTGTGATTTGTTGGCTTATGGGCTTATGACTGCCTTGTGGAATCAAACACACAGAGGCAGAACTGATGTGAGGGTTTGTCCACTGACCTCACCAAATATTTTGCTGTGGGTTATGTAACTTTGCTGTGCAATGAATATGCTAGGAATTACCTCGCAAGAATTAAATTTTATAATCACATATGATACAATACCTAACGGCTTTCTAAAATTAACATGACCTAAATTTCTTGTTACTGAACATACTTCATTTCCACGTATTTCCATTTAGATCCAAATATTTGTTTCCAAACTTTGCTTCAGGGACATAATTAAACTACCTTAACAGCAAATTCGGCCAAATACGGGGTAAGCCCCAACTGACGAAAGTGGCTTTTTTCTGTTCAGGTCTACTGTCAACCCCAAATAGAACATAAACTAAACAGGGCGACCACACTTGTAATCCTAGAAGCACGGGTATAATGCGCAAGGAAAAGTAAATCCGATGTCGAAGTTCTAATCTAATACAAAAGCATTACACAAAACAAACTTCGACTAGGGTAACTAAACAAATTAATAATATACAGTTATCGCAATAGGGAACTACTGTCTAAAAGCAATACATCCCTTAACTTTCCAATGTTAAATTTCATGTTACACAACTCTTTTATGCTAGATTACAGCAGACAGGCAAATTGATATTATATATACTAACAGTGACACATCAAGGTAATAGTATTCACTCATGGTTTTACACAGAACAGACTCATTTAAAGCATAGTACTCAAACGCAACACCACCAAACCTACCACATGTACCACCGGCCGCCTGCGACCACCAACGATCCGCATACTCACCGCGCTCACCGCATCGTAGGCAACGATAGGCAAATTTCACCATGCGCCTTGGGTAATTGTCACCGATGTCTATATTCGAAGACGTGACTAACAGTGGTAGTGTCTATCACCAACATTGGGATCACGGATAAATATTCAATACTTATACGACAGTTGCGGAAGCCAGAGCCCAATCGGTAAGAAGGCCAACTAAGACACCACTGCTGCTCACTACGCTCACTACTCTATCCACTCCAATCCACTCTAATCTTTCTTCTCATCCAAGACCACATTTTCACCCTTATGTACGGGGGCAATTTTTTTAAGGTGGGAAGTCAATTCTCTGGGTGTGTGTGGGTACGTGTATTAAGAAAACTTGTTTGCAAACTTACGTTTAGTCATTTGAGGCTAATTTTACTATATTTCACCCTGGGTATTCAAGAGAGAATTATAATGATTATTAAATACTCTTACATAACAATATTTTTCGAATATTGAATTATTAGTGCTAAAATTGTGTAGGAGGCTCGTGATGTAGATGTTAACATCACGAGCCTCCTATACAATCTTATATACAAAAATAAAAATATAGAAGATTCCAATTTGTCCATGGGAATGTATGATATTACAAAACCAATGACTGATTCGATGTTATAAAACATCAATTACAATTTTATTCTTGTTTTACAATATAACTTCTGTTTTATATAATCTGATTATTTGTATTTTTTACATCAAGTGTTTTATATGATTAATAGTATTGTATACAGTTTAATAGTACTGTAGTTCAGTGGTGTATATATGTTTAACCAGGTATTTGCCCGATGATGGCTATTGATAAGCGAAACATGTAGCAGAGCCATAGCTGGGCATTGACCTTGATATTTGTTGTGTTGTGACCATTAATAAAGAGGCTGTATATAACACAACAGGATGCATGAAATGAAAAACATCTACTTAGTTTTCTATACGTTTACTTCTAGACCAAATGGCTTACTAACAGCAACTGAAGTTCCTGTGCTTTTCTTTAAGGTATCTGTTATTGCACAGTACAGACCAACAGCTGATATCTCATTAATTTCAGACCCATTTGGTTTTCCTGGATCTTCCTAATGGCATATTCTAAAGCAAAGTTGAAAAGCAATGGCAATAAAGCATCTCCTTGTTTTAGACCACTCTGGATAGGAAAACTATCAGATAAATATTTACCTATACAGACTTTACTATATGTTTTGTTCCAACACATTTTAATTAGCCTAAATAGTTTCTCAGGTACTCCAAATTCTATGAGAATATTATACAATACTTCCATCTTACCTGAATCATAGGTTTTCTTGAAGTCTACAAAGCTCTGTTGTACTGTCTCATTATCTGAAGAATGAAAAAAATCTGATCTGTAGTTGATCTGTTACATTGAAACCCACACTGATGATTCCCAATAATTTCATCCATATATGAACTGGACCTTGAGAGGAGGATATTGGATAAAATTTTGTGTGAAGTTTTTTCTTTTATTGCTAGTGAGGTGGGACTAAGTCCCTTGTTCTGCAGCCGCTTCTGGCCCACTGTACCAGCCCCAGATGATAGGTGAGGGTGATTGTGGAGCAATTGGTGGAATGAAGATTGGCAAGGGAAACTGAAGTACTTGGAGAAAACCTGCCCCAGTGCAACTTTGTCCATCACAGATCCCATTTGACCAGACCTGGGATCGATCCCGGCCCGTTGGGGTGGAAAGCCAGCGACTAACCACTTGAGCTATGGCGTGGCCTTGTATGAAGCTGATAGCAGCGATATTCCACAATAATTACTACAGTCGGTTTTATCACCCTTCTTGTGAAAAAAAATGGACATGAGATTTGGTACACAGAAATGGCAGATTCTCTCACGACAGTTGTCAAATAATCAAAATATAAGTTAGATTTAGTGGGAGTATAGGAGGTCAGATGGGACAGAGCTGGCACAAAAATTCATGATAAAACATATAAATATACCATAAAAAAAAGTAATAAAAATGAATATTAATATGAGTGCAGAGGGCTAAATTTATTTCAATAAAAATCCAGTCCCCCAAAAGGGGGTCATCAAGTCAAAAAGGTTGGGAGCCACTAGCTCAGCGTTAAAGGGGGAAAAAAGCCATAGAGAAACATTATAGATTAATTGCAGCATGACAATGTTTTAGCCCCTACTACCAACAAATCCCTGGTCACTGTACTTGAGGCGTTTGAGAACAGAATAATCAGTAAAGGACTCTAGCCTCCTGGAGCCTATGATTTTTATCTCCATGGGACTGTGCACAAGATAAACTACTGTACCACCAAAACTCTTCAGAATGAAACACCATGTGCAACTGTTTTAGTTTGCATGTTCCAGAATTTGTTTACATATTCTGTAGCATGCTTGAAAACATGTAATTTCTAGTTTTTGTAGAATGTACAATAATCAGTAAAGAAATTCTGTTTAAGTATGAGCTGGTATGAGTTAGGTCCTCTTGTATGGAAAAACCCTGCACTGTTGCTGCTACAGTCATGCAGTAAACTACTACTGCACTGTACCTAGCAGCACGTTTCCATCTCAACTGAACACTCTGTACCTTGCTGCTAAAAAGGATGATACTGAGGGTTTCTATCAACAAACCTGACAGCAATTCAGATAAAACAATGTTCTTTCTGGGTTATGCTATGACTAACCAGCAACAGTCATGAATTTCATGGCAGAGTGGAAATGTAATAATGTTAAATTACACACCGGTACCAATGATGTTATGAAGACGTTTGTTTTCGAGAAATATCAAAATAGGATAACAAAAAGTTATAACATTTTCTGTCGTGTACTTTATATAGCATTAATGTAGCATAAGGCTAGTTTCTGTTCACAAGTAATAAGAACTTATGGCAGAGATATGTGCAAATCTATTTTGGAAATGATGTTAATTCAAAAGGGAAAGCTGATGGAGATATATAAATGGAAGAATACAAAATAGTCCAAATTCTATGAAATTATGAAAGGAATATCACAGAACACAGAGATCCCAAAACAACAATCTGTAAGTATATTTTAATTTAATGCCAAACAGGGAGCCTTAAAAACAGAAACAAAAGCAAATACAAGCAGTGAATATAAATTGTGTATAGTTATTGTAGGAAAAATAACCATAGAATTAAAAATGAAAATTTGGAGGCATGAGAATAAAAAATTTCTTAACAAAATTAAATTTTTGTGAAGTTAAAAATTGAGTAAAGTTATCCCTGTAACAGGCCGTTCAGGCCCATAGGGCTGTGAGATCTTGAGGTTCCCACATTTTCTAGACAATTGGCTCACAGATGGTGGTAAGGGTGTCAGCCTTACGCGTCCGCCACCCTTTACCCCCAAGAATATTCCTGGTACTATTTCTGTTAGAGGCTGAGTCGACCCCATGGCCATAGTGTGGCTGGAAGGATTAAGTAAATTGAAAAAATCCACCTCATCGGGATTCGATCCTGCAACCTTCCAGCTTGTAGCATAGTGCCTCAACCAACTACACTACCATGTCCCCCCATTTTTAATTTTTGTGGAGTCAGCATTAAAAATTTCTTAATAAATTCAGAAGAAAAACAATATAATAAATTGCTTATATATAAAACAGAACAAGGATACTGTGAGGAACATTAAAATTAAATATAAAGGAAAGAGACATATGGGATAGAACTGTTCAGCCAGGTACTGGAAGACAAAAAAGAAGTGGAGACTCTTCATCCATTGACCTGTAAGGTAAAGGTAAAGCTGTCCCTGTAACAGGCAATGAAGGCCCATAGGGGTGTGAGAGGTTGAGGCTCCCACATTTTCTAGACAATTGGATCATAGATGGCGGTGAGGTTGTCAGCCAGCCGTCCTTTACCTCCCAGGAAAATTCCTGGTATTCATTTCAATTAGAGGCCGAGTCAACCCAGGGCCACAGTGCGGCTGGAAGAAGTAGATGATGGAAAAATCCAGTTACTTTGTCAGGAAACAAACTCATGACCACATTAGAATTCAATTCCGTGACCTTCTGCCTTGTAGCATAGTGCCTCAACCAACCATGCTACTTGACCTGTCAAAACAGGAATTATGCTAGGCAAAGGAGAGGGAGAAGGAAGAAGAGTTCAATGTGCAAAACTTATGCAGTTCCTTGCCTTTGTCCTAACATCCCCATCAATGTCAGAATAGTGTCACTTGTTCTCAAAGCATAACTTTTACCAAAGACTATTCTAATCTCAGTCATTACTTATCGTATTTACTCATGTAATTTATGCACTTTTCAACCCAAAAAATCCAGTTACAAAAATTATGTTTAAAACTTCCAGTGCAAAAAATATGTTAATACTATGTTTCAGAGTCTAATTTTACATGCTAGGCTGAGTTTACAATTACTATGGCTACAGAATAATTTCCTTCCCTTTCATTTCCTTTTGGCACAATTTATAACCATCACTTTCAACCCAGCTGAATAATTTTTACACTTCCCCACAACTGACACACTTTAAAACTGCTACTAATTATTCCTATTTTTTATATGATGATACAAATTCCTCAATTGTATTAAGTTTAATAAGGCATCCATTACAAGGAGCTCCACTGACAATGACATTATTATTATGATCATTATGATTTTCCCTCCTTATGTGCTTTCAATTTCCTAGAAGTGTATTTTTGTGGTCCTGGCCAAAGCCTCATTAAAATAATGTACATTCAATATACTCGTACAAATATATTCTCCCCTAACAGTGTTTGTTGTTTACCTGTGACAGCCCACTGGCCCAGGCAGGACAAGGAATTGATCATTTTTGCTCACAACAGTTAGATGTATCATACAGTATTTTCTATTGATTTTAGACTTATGTAACATATAACTGTTCATTTTGTGAGATTAAAGCAAGTATGTGTAATTAATGAAGAAGTATCACTTTCTGTTTGAATCTGATATAATACCAATCTAATATTTTCCTTGATTTAACCCTTTCGCGCGGTGATTTAAATTCCGCGGCCGCCTCTCCTGCGGTAATATATTCAGCCGGCCATTTAAATTTTGCTCGAAAATGATTTATTCATCATTGTTCTTAAATTCTATGAGATAGGAACATGAAACTTTCACTAAAATGATCTAAAAAGGTGGTTTTATAACCTTACCTTATAATATGAGCAGCCGGTATCTCGGCAATGGAAGCAGTTTGTTTAGAATTTGAGCAGTGAATGGTACGCCTTGAAGCATGAAACTTTCACTAAAATGATTTTAAAAGATGGTTTTATAACCTTGCCTTATAATATGAGCGCCCTGTATCTCGTAAACGGAGTATGGTACGCATTGAAGCATTCTACTATACACAGCGCTGTCTCACTTCACCACACCAGTACTGCGTATCTCTCATTTGGCTCTCTTTTCCGTAAACCAAACATCTTCTGTGAGGCCTTGCATTCTTCCCCGTGGGGGGAATACAAGNTCAAAAAAATATTTATGGTCATCCCTCGAAACGACCACCAAGGTCAGTACGATAAAATGGAGTCAACTGGAGCGATAATACATGAAGGAATGAGTTCTTTTCCCTCCCCCACACACATCCGTATCGTCTCAGGGGGTGACCACAGTGTTCTGCCTTAAATTGTGGCGTTTTTCTAAGAAATGGGTGCTATGTACTGTGCGAAAGCAATCGATTTTGCAAGAATAAAGTTTGTACATCCTTCTTCTAAGAATTCCAATTGAGTGTGTTAGTGTAGCCAGCTCAGGGCAATATGATATTATAAACACCAGCACATATCACGTCTCTGCTGTTTATAGCTTCAGAGCAAAGAAAACACGTCATTCATAACAGAAACCGCTCGCAATAGCCACAGGAACGTTGCTGCAAGACAGGCATATGTAACGACGGCTTAGCGCTCTTAAACGCGTGTGTCATTAAATACAGTCCTCCTGACAACAGGCCAGTGAAAAATCTAACAATCTACAGCAAAACCATCAATTATTATGGGAGTTTTAACATACGTGTGCAGCTGGACGAAACATACACGTCGAACCCCCCCAGACGATTTAAATACCTGACGAAACATACACGTCAAACCACGGCAACGGGTTAAGGTATACAAATCTTGCACCATGGAAAACCTTAAACTAGAATTTCACTGCATATATGGAAAACTGTCTTCCTCCGGACACATCAGGCTGTTTGACCTGAAGTACAAAATAATGAACACTGGGCAACAGACGGAAAAGAAGTACAGTGCCCCATGTATTCCATGCAAAGCAAAGATAGGAGAACAAAACTTAAACATTCAAAGTGAAGTGTGGGCTGGTCAAGTTTCAGGTTGTTTCTGAAACTGATATTATACTGTAAGAAACAGATCACACCACTATAAGCAATGGCAACACTTCATTTTATATAAATATTCCTTGTTATATGAAAGGTCAATAAATACAATTTCATTTTAATGCACTAAACTAATTTACACTGATTTAAATTCAAACCACCCATTTTAGTGTGAACTGCCTGCTAGTTGAGCAAGAGAAGTGGAACAGATTATTGTGTGACTTGCGGAGTTAGAGAAGGAAAGGAGGGTAAATTATGTCTTACACATGTATGATTTCATCCCATGTGATTTTATTTTTGGAACAAAACTGTTGCACCAATGAAGGAGTACCTGTACTTATACTTTTTTAATATGAAAACCTTGAAACAATAATCAGACTAGAAGAGTGTGACATTTATGAGAGGGCTAATGACATAAGCATTGGAGCTCTTTAACTGTTTTTAAACAGTTCTGTGGACCAATAAAGAAGGAATGGCCATTTGAAGCAAAGTATAATCATTTCAGGACTTTTTTGTTTCTGCAGCCTATCACAAGACTGTTAGTAAGAAAACCCTCTCCCCTCAGAAGTGGTCAAATTGGTTAAAAATAAATGTTCAACAATCTTAGAATCTTTTAGAAGCATTTTAGACACACATGGTGATAGAATTTCTGTTGAAGCAAATATAATAAATTTGTAATAATATCATTATAAAACAGGACAAACTTATGGCATGTATGGTCTGCCACATCTGGAATTTAAAAGGCCATCACTTGGCTGTGTAGGCCAAGAAAGTTTACTAATATTTATATTCAGAGGAATTTTAATACTCTAGTCTGCTAATACCTGTCACATGTAAAAAATTAAGTATGAATAGTTTAACGTTACATTCACACAATACTTCGCAGCACTAAAACTGATGATGTGGTATGAAATTCCTCTGATCTCTAGAGAAGGATGCCAAGTTGCAATAGGGATTGATGCTAATACACACACTGGCTTTTTAGTCCAACAGTCAGCACCCACAAATAGTGTAATGTCATTTGTAGTAAAAACAATAACAGATACATGTAGGTTTCTAAATAACTTTGTTTATGCCAAGTGCATCTCTCATCATGAAGTCACGCAATGTCCACAAGGCATTGACAATATTTCCATGATTCCCAACACCATTTCCAAGCCAGTGTGCGGGCAAACGAGATGGGTCAGGGATAGCTGTGTTGTCTGGTGTCGCTTTCAGATGCTTGTCCCAGTGTGATATGTGCTTGCTGTCAGCTTGCAGGCCTTCAATATACCTAAAACATACAAAGCACATCTACTTAAGTGGTATGACAGAAGTTTTTAATTTCCTCAAACCTGTGTTAATATGGTAGATGAAAGTAGTCCACGGAAACAACAGTGTCATGAACTACATACAGTGGAACCTCGCTTAACGAGTACCTCTCATAACGAGTAATTCGCATAATGAGCAAAACAAATTGTAAAAAAATGACTCTCTTAACGAGCGACGTTTCGCATAATGAGTGACGAGAGGGGAAGTCCCGGATTGTGCGCTTGCTACATCAGTCTGTGTTTAGCACTCGTTCCGCTAGCATCTTAGTGTCGCTTGTGATCACACATTTTTCCAAACTTGTGTTCAGACATATTATTTGTGATTTTTTTTTGCAAAGTTTAATAACCCTTGCAAAAATGCCCCCGAAGAAAGAGCCGCAAAAATACAGCCATAAGAGAATAAAAATAACCGTAGAAATGAAAAGTAAAATCATTGAAAAGCGAGAACGAGGTATGAGTGTGGCTGATCTAGCATGCACATACAATCGATCTACATCAATAATTTGCACGATTTGGAGTTGCACTGTGTTTCACAGCAAGAAGTTGTGGAGGAGAGTTTGTCAGAGGAGGAGAACGAGGAGGAGGTAACAGCAAAGCAACAATCTTCTGGCGCAATAAGAGAAATGCTGAAAGCATGGGAAACTGTTGCATCCTACATTGAGAAGCATCACCCTAATAAGGCAGTGGCTATGCGCGCTACAAAATTTATTTTATGATAATGCTGTGTCCCATTTTCACCAAATTTTGAAGCGTCGGCAAAAACAAATGTCTCTAGACAGCTTTCTAGTAAAACGGAATTAGATATGTATCATAAATAATAAACTAATTATTTCGATTTTTTTTTTTTTTTTTTNTTTGTTTTCTGCAAATCGAATTCGCATTCCTGGTTGGTTCACTGCACATAGAAGAAAAGATGATTCACGCTCCTTAACAATGTATATATAATTTTCTTTGAATAAACGTTATACATAAAATTTTTTGAATATTTTTTATGGCATGGAACACATTAGCGTATTTTACATTAATTAATTTCGCTTCTGGAACGAATTATGCTCATTAAGCGAGGTTCCACTGTATTTTAAATTTTCCTGAATGCAAATATCATTATTTTGTTACATAAATTCATATACATACATCCACTACTCCTTGATAAATCACATAAGATCTGAAAAAGACAATTTCAGATAATGATGTTATGGACTGACAATTGGAAATGTGACTTCCAATTTCTGGCAGATATATATGCAATGCATTCAGGAAATGAGGATGAAACTTCAACTCCTCAGTGAGTTTGATTCACATACAAAACAATTTCCCATAAACTTGTGACTCTAGGAAACACAAGCAAGACTACCATCAACGCTTGGAATAATATGACTACAATTTTTATAGGATCTGAAGTTCTCACATTGGTGGTTATGAACAGTTCTATCTTCTGGAATATAGTCTAGAATGCAGACAACTGAAAGTCAACTGACGTTTTGGAAGAACATGTCACCTCCATCTTCAGGGCCAAAGAATAAGCCGAGCAAGAAATAAATGTGAAGCAGGTAGCAAACAGAGCCTTGCTACCTGCTTCATGGTGGTTTCTTACTTCTTCGATCCTGAAGATGGAAGTAACATGTTCCTATGAAACGCTGGTTGACTTTCAATGGACTACACTGCATTATATTCCAGAATACAGAACTCTACATTGTATTTTTTTTCTCTGACAAATAAAAAGTATACACCATTTTACTCATTCAATAATCATTATACTTCATCTAGGTTCAAGTGCCATGTGAAAATTTACTTCATATAAAATTCACATAATTTCCACCAACAGATAAGTATTCTAATCACATACCACACTATTCCAGTCTTCTACTTACTTTATGTAAGCTTCAGAATGTAGAAGTCGCTGTGGGCGAGGGGGAACACTTATGAAGAGTGGCTCAACTGGACGTGACTGTACTCCACTTGTTGTCATACCACAACCTTAATATAACACAATTCACAGCTGATTTTAGTTTCATGAGCTTGAATTTTACCTCAAATAAAATGCTAAACAAGACACACAGATATAATTTACATATAATTTACGGTAATTTCAATATCTCCACTGGTAAACAAGACAGATGTTGAAGAAAGCCGTATTCTGGGATGTGGCGCCATGTAGAAATTGTGTTAACCGACGTTTCAGAGGAATGTATCGCTTCCATCTTCAGGGTAGAAGACACAAAGAATGAGAAGAGAAGATGGCATTAATGCCCTCCATTCCTTCCCTTCTCTCCCCCTACCACATACTCTATACCAGCTCTGGCCCACTACCTGTTGGCTATTCCACCAGACCCTTCCCCTCCCTTTCTCTACTATTGCCTTATATAGCCACACTCCTTCTCTCCTTCTCTTATACAGCTGTGTTTACTCGACTGGATTCAGTCTGTTGCACCTGCTCTGCTGGTTCGCTCGCGGATTTCTTCTTGTCTTCTACTCTAAAGATGAAGGCAATACGTTCCTCCGAAACGTCGGTTAACACAATTTCTACACAGTGCCACATCCCAGAAGACAACTTTCTTCACCGCCATGAAAACCTCAAATCTTACAAGACAGATGTTCTTCCATACATGTCTGTGAAAAATGTGGACTTGATTTTATTTCTGACTCTTTAAATCCTCTGGCTCAGGCATCTAGGTATTAGTTATTTAAACAGCACTGGTGCATAAGTCTCATAAGGAATTTTTGTTGTCCAGTTTAATTTAATTTTCCCATTCAGATGGATTCTTTCACCTCAATGGCAGATGTTTGGTTGGAAAGATTGTAGTTGAACACATATGCCACTGACAGACAATATACCTAGTTGAATCAAGTAATCTAATATAGCAAGTGCCCACTTTCACCATCATCTGAAATTGTGTTCACTGTACCAAGTGTTTCTCCTTTTTGGAAAACCTCAGTATTGCAAGTTTGCAGTTATTACTGAATGCCCTTATTCCTAGAGCCAGATGACAATGTGAGTGTTGCGTAGTAATTTGTGACAAAAAGAAAATTAGTATGTACTTCTGTTCAGTAGACTGAAGCAAAAATGTCAAATGAATGGAAGTACATACTAATTTTCTTTTTGTCACAAATTACTATGCAACACTCAGATTGTCACTTGACTCTAAATTTGGCTCTAGGAATAAGGGCATTGACTCTAAATCTGGCTCTAGGAATAAGGGCATTCAGTAATAACTGCAAACTTGCAATACTGAGGTTTTCCAAAAAGGAGAAACACTTGGTACAGTGAACACAATTTCAGATGATGGTGAAAGTGGGCACTTGCTATATTAGATTACTTGATTCAACTAGGTATATTGTCTGTCAGTGGCATATGTGTTCAACTACAATCTTTCCAACCAAACATCTGCCATTGAGGTGAAAGAATCCATTTCTGAATGGGAAAATTAAATTAAATTGAACAGAAATTTCTTACGAGACTTATGCACTAGTGCTGTTTAGCTGTTTAAATAACTAATACCTAGATGCCTGAGCCAGAGGATTTAAAGAGGCAGAAAAAAATAAATATGAATCCACATATTTGACACACATATATTATGATTATAATACTATGAGAGACTGCATATGCATATACAGTTCCTAATATGGGTATCAAAATATACATTATCTGCAGCGCCTGGGTGTGGACTGAGTCCATAGTCCATGTTAGTACTTTGGTTAACACTGACAAGTCTGTAGTATATTATGAAGACTTGACAGACTGGTACGTTATTTAATAATAATGATCTACTTATCTACGAACTAGTTCTTCAGCTTGGTTGGAAACTTGAAGTCAAAATAAGTTACCTGGTACATGGGCAAGGGGTGAAGGTGTTTGTCGTGAGTGAGCCTGGTGGGACGCAGACAAATTCTGCCCAGCAGTTGAACCCACTGCAACACACCATAACATGCTTCACACCATGCAGATTAGTAATTGCATACACACAAAATTAGCTGTTACTGCACAGTATATACCTATTTAATATCACAAATAACAAGGTGGAAAATGTTTCCAATATACATGAACTACAATAGATAATCTGTAAGTTTTCCATGTGGCGATACAGCACATAATGGTTTGCATGGATGAACTCCCATCCTTTAGGTGTGATATTAGTATACACTGTATACAGTAGGTAGAGAGCATGATGGATGCAGGTGCTTACATGGTGCTGAGCTACAAATCAATACCAAGCACAAGTTTCAAGCATATGAAAGTGAGGACAGTGATCAAGTTTCATGTGTTGATGGGAGGACACAGAAGTGTCTCAAACTTATGAAGAAAGTCTTAGGAATCAGTGCTTATGCCATGAAACTGTTTCATGGTGTGCATGTACCAAGAATGACGGGTCAGAAGACACAAGTGATGACCTTTCAGTTGTATGCCAACAAATGCCACTGATGTGGTACATGTGTGTACAGTGCTTACATATACATAGCACTTAAATGTACAGCAATTCCAGCAGAAGAAGAGCCATACCTCCTGAATCTAGAGTATCACTAATGAGTCAGCTGGCAGTGACACACACTCACATCCCACTTCCCATACCGCTGCGTTAGCTATTATCGCTCCACCCCCTCCAACCAAGACAGTCTGACACGAGAATCTGAAGTGTGCATCGATAACTCTAGGAGAGCATTCAGTTCTGAACCGAGGTCTCAAAGCAAGTATTTTAATATGTACAGCCAAAACGGCCATGCTAAGATATCTAAAACAGAGCAAATGCTTCACTGGCAAGTTCGGTTCCAGTTTTGGTCTGTCTTTTGATATTATGTTTGGGAATGATAATAAAGCTGAATGCTGTTGACAGTTACAGATACTCAAGTCTGTTTCATCGCTTTTATTCAGACTGACTCCAACACTGGTTATACTCTTACATTTAACCATACTTTCATTTTATCTAATACAGTTATAATGTAATATGACTCACAAGGATATTGGATGTGCATTCCCTATAACCTATATTTTTATACTGTACGAAGTCGCTGTAGTTCCCACCTGCTATGTCTGTGTTAACATACATACATACATGAGTGCACTTATTTCATATTAAATCCATGATTCCTCTATAGAGCCAATGATAAGGCGTGACCTGCCATGTCAGAAACTAGAACTTCTGAAAAGAAGCATCATCTGCCTTCACAACAGTGCAGAATTCTATCAAGATCATGATGTGCAAAGCTTCCTGCAAACCTGAAATTATTTATTCCTGTCTCCATGTGACTAATTGTTTCTTCAGAAGAAGGAGCCACCCAGTTTAAATCTGCGTGACTCCATGTGTGTGTGAAAGAGAGGGGAGGAAGGATTGAAAGTATATGGGACAGTGAGAAGATTCCATTCAACCTTTATCGCTGATTTCAACATAGTACACATAAGTATACAGCTGGCACCAAAACCATGAGACAGCAGCAGAGAGATAAGAAATGTCCCTACTGGGAAGACAGGACTTTAATAAATTTAAGAGCTTTAATAAGTAACAAATATAAGGGTTGGACCAAATAAGGGAAATAATACAGATATGTTACACATTTCTTTATTAATATGGTGTGGGGCCACCTTTTGCCTTCAATACAGCCGCAGTCCTTCTTCGAATGGACTCATACAAGTTTTTTGAATAGTCTGTAGGGGAATTGTATACCATTCTTCTTGAAGGACACCTTCAAGTTGCTTTAGAGATATTGGAGATGGGAATCTGTTCTTCACCCTAGTCTCCAAAACTGACCAAATGGTTCACTGATATTCAAATCTGGTGAATGTGTTCGCCAGGGAAGTTGTTGAAGTTCACCTTCATGCTCGTCAAACCACGACTGAACAGTTCCAGCTGGGTGAATGGGGGCACTGTCATTTTGGAAAACTGCATCATTGTTCAGAAATAAAGTCTGGCTCATGGGATGCACCTGATAACCCAACCTACCCATGTACTCCCTTGCAGTAATTTTGCCATGAAGCGTAACAATGGCACCCACAATATTGCTGCTCAAGCCATCACAGAACCTCTCCCATGTTTCAATGTTGGAACCAGGCATTCCGGATTGTAGGTTTCCTTGGGTGTTCTCCAAACGTAAACACTTCCTGATGTAGGAAACTGTGAAGGATGACTCATCTGACCATACCACATGCACATCCAGTTTGTACAGTCATGACACCATCGTTTACACATTCGAGCATCAGTTTCAGTAATTAGTGGTTTAGCAATTGCAATCCTGACTGCACAGCCGGTATAGCAACTGGCTATGGGCTGGACAACTGATAGGTCGGAGTTTGAATCGCGGCAGGGGCAAGAATTTTCTCTCCCCCACGTCATCCAGACTGGTTCCGGGGTCTACCCAACCTCCTATCCAATGGGTACCATGGGCTCTTTCCCCAGGGGTTAAGCTGCAGGGGGCATGAAGCTGACCACTCACCTCCAACTAATGCCAAGGTAAAGAAAATGTGAATCTATCAATCCACTCCTCCCATATGCCTTCATGGCATAGTGCTTAATTACTTAAGCACAGGGACTTTACCTTTTACCCTAACATGGATGTTGGATTTGTGAAGCTCATGCCACGGTTTTTGCGGAAACAGGATCTTCAAGATGAATATTCAGCTCTGCTGTCACCTGTGCTGCAGTAGTTCTGTAATTTTTTAAAATAATCCTTCTCAATGTATGATTATCTCTTTCTATCAACGATGATTTTTGTTCACTGTTCGTCTTTGCTGATGATGTCTTCCCATGATTCATGCATGGCAACATAATCTTAGAAACTGCTGCTCTCGATACACCTAATAATGTAGCAGCGTCACAGATGCTCCAGCTAAACAGGCACCAATGATCTGTTCTCTTTCAAAATCAGCTATATCTCCCTTTCACGAGGACTGTCATTCAACACAATCACTAATGCACTTACATGAGCACTACAGAGTGTAAACAATCAGAAGATTAACATTCTTTGTTGCCAACTTAAGTTCCTTCAATGTAGCCAACACAAATTCTGTTCCTAAACTTCTTAGTATTTCCATTACTATGTCCACCACCTGCATATAAAGCAAGAAGATGAATTGTTACATTAAATGCCAACATATGTGACAAAGTCAAGTCTGTGGATGATATAAAAATATGGAGATGATGATGTGACCATCCAGCACACAAATGAAGCCAATCAAAAAGACAGAATAGATGAGGATTTGTCAAATTACATAGTGTCACATCCAAAAGACAGTAATCTTCACAGTCACTGCTGCGAGGATCGCATCCCACACAAGATGATGATTACGGAAGTATTGTGGATGGTACAGGAAGTAAACTGACTACCCTGAAAGGCATAGTTGATTTCAGCAAGGCCACCACAGTATCAGTATGTCATATGAGCACAGATAATTCAGTGATTACAACGAGCACAGAAATACAGAAGTATGCTGTGAAACATCACATCTACTGATTTGCTATGACTGTAGCATGTATTGGTTCATGTATGCTATCTTGGTACTATATCCATGAACTACAGTCCTTCCAGTTTATATAACATAATAATTCTACCTGCTTTGTAACATGACAGTGTTCAGTTCACAAAACAATTACATTCAAATTCTAAAATTTTGTAGCCAGTTTCACAGTATTCAATTCCTGTTCCTCTGGTTTTCTAGAGCCATCATTCTTCTTGTCAATGGACATATTTTTGAACAGAAACTCTAATAGCAACAATATGTAACTGTAATTAAACATTCACCTTTAATGGTCTATAAATACTGAATTCTTAAAATGGAAGTACAAAAACTGTCCAGATATACTGATGCATGTAGTAATGCTGACTGTCATTTCAGAAATTAATGTACACTCTGTGCTAATTAAAAGCTCCACTTGTGGGACAGTGAAAGGCCACCTAAGAAGTATGATGTTTTGACTTTCCTCAGGTAGTCTTATACTTCTAGCAATTTAAGTACAATTCTGAACCGACCTCCAACTAGTGATGAGGTCAAGAAAATGTGGATCTATCCATCCATTCCCCCATACGCCTTCATCGCGTAGTGCTTAATTAGTTAAGCACAGGGACAACTGTACCTTTTTCACCTTAAGTACAATTCTGAAGTCATGCAGTCTGCCTTTTGCAGAAGGACAAAAAGTGTCAAAGCAATTTAAACAAGATCTCAACATCCATAATCTATGTACCTCAAACAAAGAACCCAATCCCTCAAGCCGTTTACTAAATCACCACTGCATTGTCCTCTTAAATGACATTTAAACTGCTGTGTAGGGCCTTGTTCACATATTCAAAATCTTGCATATTCTGCAAATTACCCAACAGAATTAAATAACTTTGCACAGAAATTAAGAGTAGTATAAACATCAATGTATTCTTTCCCTTATTAGGTGGTCTGAAACTATTAAAACTAAATGAAGCAGCCATGTTCATTGCCTGACAATCATAAAGACTACTAAATGAAAAAATCATTCTATGACTCTATACAGCAATTTGTAGGCAGAACAATGGTTGGCATGAAGCTTTACGACTTGTAGAACATGATGCAATTCATATAGATTCAGTATCCCTCAACAATGAGCAGCTGTGAAGATATTTTTAAGATGGGGCAGTGTACCCACACAAGTACAACCACTATGGTAGCAGAGCAGTGAGCAGCATATATATGTAGGTATGGAGTACTGGCATCAGGCATGAATAAAAAAGTTGTTCCTGATGTAGGTGTTTGAAGAAAAATATCACAATCAAAACTTCACAGGTCACGTTCCATGACAGATATATCGGAGGAGAGAATGTTTAAAAACTGCTTTCACTTAATACATAAAGTTCATGACAAAGACACCTTTTGTGATTACAAAATAAAATATCAATATGCACTACATAAAATAAAATAAACACAGCAGAAGCAAACATGACCAGTTTCAGACATGGATAAAACTATTTACAGTTTTGATTGTCTGCTGATCACAACAGCCCCAGCTTGCATCTAAAGAAATTTGAGACTTAACACTTCGCGGACTGGTGATTTAAATCACCCTGGGGACCGGCATTTTTAAACATACTACCCTAACTTGTGCACTGTTCACTTTAAAAATTAATATAAAATCTCCTATTTAATTTTTTGAATTAAAATTTTTGGAAAACACTTACCAATGCTCCTAGAAGTGCTTGAGGGTGTGATAATTCTGGAAACTTTCCCCTTTGTGAAGTGGCATTACACAGAACTTGCAAATGTAGACATATTCCTTTTTTTTTTGTGAACTGTGCAAACACGGCATTGCCTAGAAGTATTCTTCCCCTTGGAATGTTCACTCTTCACAATTTTCATGAGGGTATTTTTCCGCATATCACTCACGAGTCGCCCTGGGGGGTCCACATGAGGACTTCGTGGGGTGGGAGTTGATGGGCCCGGTCGTACTAAGTCTTTGTGTGACCCTGGTTCTGCCGCCACCATCTGGACTGTAGCCCAGGCCTTTGCCACATTCATCAGAAATGCTTTGTATTTCAATTTTGAATCAGGGTTTAGATTTTTTTAGATCTTTTGCTGTCCAGACAATGTTATTACCCGCATTATCATCGGACCTAATGTCACTTTTACTGTCTGTGGCCACAATTCTTTGTTCCCCCCCCCCCGTCACTGTCGCTGTCTGAATGACAGTCCATTACTACGTGTCTCACAAGGCAGGTCAGCTAGGTCATCGGAGGAGAATCTGTCCTTGATCCATTCTCCCCACTAGCTACTGGATGATACACACAGCTTGAAGGCAAAGCATTTTCCTTTATAGTCGGTTAAGTAAACAGCGAGGTCAAGTTACTGACTGCTAACTAAACATTCCAGAGTTTTATCACGCATCTGCAGGCAGTTGCATGCAATGTAGGTGGTGCCAGAGCAATGTATAGTGTGTTGCAACTTATCGTGTTCTAAAAACCTGTTAACACGCGAACGGTTCGCCATGTTTAAAAGCAAAAAACCTTTTAAAGGGTGCGCGGTCCGCAAAGTGTTAAAAAGCTTTTGTGTCCATTACATGATAGAAATATCAGACTCAATTCTGAATACATAAACACATATTCAACTATCACAAATTTCAGACTCTCCAAGTGATGGAAAATATCTGCTTACCTACAACCACTTACACTTATGGTCCTCTTAATGCGATGTCTAATACGACACACAATACATACACAGACATTGGCATAACTCACGTGCAACATGCTGGAGATGATTCTGAGGGATGGCAGCAGAAGCCAGCGGTCTGGCAGGAGGCATAGGTGGCCGACGCGAAGCCACAAAGTTCCTATACACAACATATTATTTCAAACTACAGTACAACACCTATCTCACATGGAGCAGGGTGGCAGAGCACAGCAGCACACAGCTATAATGTTACAGATCTCAACATGCACACCTGGTGGAGAGACCATGTGACATTTCATGGCATCAGTTGTAATTTGAATGAGCATGGCACAGGTACAGCACACATTTCACTGTTTCCAATAGAGAAAATACAGCATGACATACAATTAATACTTTAGTGATCATCTTGACTTCACATCCTTTGAGTCTTTTCTATTATACAAATTTTCTAAACTTTCATTAAGGTGCACAATCTTTGGACCTCAAGGCCTCTACTGTAATAGGACACAAAACAAACACATACTGGTCCTGAGTGAGATCTGAACTTGCAAGTGGTCCAGGCTCATGCAGTCTTACAGATCTGCATAAAACTACCATGCCTATTACAATTATACTATATGAATTATTGTATATAAGAAATCATTTATTGAATCAATCCTGTGTTTAATAATAATACTGTTCCAGGACTGGTAAATTTGGAATAGAACAGTCTGCATCCACAGTGGAGATACAGCAAGATATTCTTCAATGACCTCTATGGCACTGAAACACCTATATCTGTTAAAATTGTTGACTTTCAAGGATACTTATGGAGCTGTTGATGTCCTTCATGAGGGGCTTATTCAGGTCCTTCGCTTATTCCATGTATCTCAGAGACTTGGTTTAATAACTTCTGTTACTTCAGACACACTTGACAATTCATAAAAAAAAGTAAAAAATTACAACGCCTCATAAATGTCTAAAGCTATCATGTATAGGCTTTGAAAGTGAAATATATATTTTGACTTTAACACTTTGGGGGAACAAGTTTATGACCTACAGACTGGGAAATCTTCAATGCAGGGCATTTGCCAAAGCTGTAGCTGGAGTGCAGATGGAGTCCTGAGCTGTGGATAAGGCACAATGACAAAACTGGCTTAATGGACAGTTTAATTTTAATCATCTCTGCATGTTAACAATCAATATAAATTACAATGCTTCAGGCATGTACCTTTACATACATTAATTCTTCTGAGTTATAACATAAAAAATATTTACCAATGTTTTATTTTTAAGTTTATCTTAAGTTTGTTATTTAGTGACAGTTTGTTGATGATATGAAGATTAATGAATATGGAGCAGCTGGTGGAATGAGCATTTTATTTGGCTGTCATTCTGAATTACATGGGTGTTCATTCTGTTAGAAGCTTACCAGTCTATTTTCCGTTTGATGTCATGTCTGGAGTTATGAGTAGCATTTCAGTTTTGATAATAAAAGGGAATTTCAAGGCCTGCACTAGTCAGATACTGAAGTTCCAGAGTCTCTGTGCAATTGGTTTCACCAGCAGGCTATTTATTCCTATGAGTAGGACATCACCTCTAGATAACTCAAATGGTTGGATGTATCAATGCTTAGATAACAGCCAAATATGGCAATAGTAATCAACCACTGGACAGGTTTTCATTAAATCATACCTGCCTTACACTTTTGGTTACCTTATTTACTTTCATTTTAATAAAAACATTTCTGAGAGGTGCAAATTTTATGGACAAGGCACACAATCAAAGGTCCTGGCCTCTTGTAAAATTAGGAGAACTCCAATGGGGAGTTGGACACATACGTGGTGTGTTCAAAAAGTATTGAACCTTTGATCGGCAGAAATACATTTATTGATTTGCAGGTACAAAACCCTAATCCCCTTCAAAGCAGTCTCCTTGGTAATGCACACACTTCCCCCAGTGCTTCCGCCATTGTTGGAAACACTTCTGGAACGCGTCTTTCGGAATGGTGATCAGCTGGGCCGTCGCATTCCGCATGATGTCTTCTCTTGACTCTTCCTTTCAGCAGAATTTTCAGCTTGGGAAATAGCCAAAAGTCACATGGAGCCATGTCAGGGGAGTAGGGAGCCCGACGAACCACAGGGATGTTGTGTTTGGCAATGAAAGTCTGAATCAGATGCGCAGAATGGGCGGGTACGTTATCATGATGGAGCTGCCAAGTTTTTGCTGCCACAGATCTGGCCGTTTGCACCGCACAGCATCACAAAGGTGACGAATGACCTCCTGGTAGTATTCCTTTGTGATGGTTTGGCCTTGTGGTGCGTACTCATGATGTACAACCCCACAGGAGTCAAAGAAAATGGCCAACATGACCTTGACATTCCTGCGGACCTGCCATGCTTTTTTTGGCCTCGGGGATGTCGGATGTTTCCACTGTGACAACTGCATCTTGGTTTCCAGGTCGTATCCATAAACCCACGACTCATCGCCTGTGATCACAGTGTTCAGAAAGTTGGGGTTACTGTTTGCATTGTCCAGCATGTCCTGTGCGATTTCCAGACAGCATTGCTTCTGCTCCATTGTTAGCAGTTTTGGTACGAATTTCGAGGACACTTTCCTCATGCCCAAATCCTTGGTCAAAATTGAATGTACTGATCCAGTGCTTACCCCTATCTCGTTCGCAAGTTCTCAGACTGTGATACGACGGTCCTCCATGACCAAAGTCTGCACTTGCTCAATGACATTCTCATTTCGGCTTGTTGAGGGTCTGCCTGAATGCAGTTCCCTGTCCACTGATGTGTGGGCATCTTTGAAGCAGCTGTACCACTCCTTTATCCATGAGTTGCTCATGACATCGTCCCCGAAAGCCTGTTGAGTCTTGCAAATGGTTTCCACTTGGGTATCGCCAAGCTTCTGGCAAAATTTGATGCAATATCACTGCTCATGTTGTTCCGTCATTTTACACCTTACCGGAATCCGATGAGGGCTCACTACATGTCCTCACTCAGAGGCCGACTACCAGCGACTGACACTTTCTGCGAGCGGGAAAAAATTCACGACTGTGCATGAATGTCCCCTCCACATCTCCACCAAAGGGAGCCTCCCGCACTTCATTGGTTTACGTGGGAAAAAAGAAGGTTCGATACTTTCTGAACACACCACGTATATGCATGTAAATGATACACACTGGTCTATACAATAAGCAACTGCATTCATAAAAATGCCTTTAATATTTTTATGGGAAGCTGAGGTGCCCTAACTTCTATTAATAAATTTCCATGCTTAACATGTTTCTCTATATGCAATTTCTGATGGATTAGGGAAGGTCTTTGAGACAGAATGTATCGCTCACTAGATTAAATGCTGGAGGTCTGAACAGCACATACAGAACTTGCATCAGATTCACACAAAAACTGAGCCATGATCAGAAATGTCACATGCACCCTTCAAGCTACCAAGTGCAGGGTTTTGTTTTTGAGTAATGTTAGGAGAGGAAGCTCCTACTCAAGAATATACACAACGACATAATTATAAGTCAACATGCCTCTTAAATGACCGGCAATTTTGCAAAAAGAAAGGGGAAAAATAATACATACAGGTAACTAAAATATCATTCTCAGCCATGTGATCAGCACCATCTAGCACAATATTAACAACAAAATTACAACACAACCAACCAGTGGTTTCATTTGTGACGCTGGCCTGAGTTGGTGCACTTCGTGAACACATGAAGTTCCTGGAATTAATTCAAACAAAATGAGGATCAAGAATGAGAAATAACAATGGCAGGTCTATTGGAGCAAAATATAATACACACAGTAATTCAGATGTGACAGATCTGAAAAACAACCACATGAAGCTGAGAATGCAGACCCTGTGACAAAAAATTGTGAACTTACATCTGGTAATCTGGAAATCAAACATGGACAGACAAATGCATCTATTCATCTGTGTACAAGGACATGCTGAAAAGCAGTAGGTCATTTTTTTTCTGTTACAAGGATAGATACTTCACCAAAACAAACAACAGGTACTTTTCTTGAAAATTATTCTACAATTTTAACTATTTCTCCTCAACAGAATCACCTCTGCAAACCATACACTTCCACCAACATTCAGGTAATTTCACAGGTCCATCATCACACAATTCTGCATCCTGTTGAAATAATCACAAATTCACCACTGTCTTGACTTCATCATCTGCCAAAATTGAAAGTGATGACAATTGTGGTGGTGGTGATGGTCACAATGGTTGTAATTATGGTGGTCATGACACTGTGATGATGGTTGTGGAGATGGTGGTGGCGATGACAGCAACGGTGATGGTGTGATGGTTGTGTTGACAGTAATGGTCATGATGGTTGTGGAGATAGTGTTGACAATGATGACTGTGGCAATGGTAAAAGTAAAAAAGAAGAAGAAGAAGAAGAAGAAGAAGAAGAAGAAGAAGAAGAAGAAGAAGAAGAAGAAAGGTATCCCTGTAACAGGCTCTAGACAATCGGCTCATAGATGGCGGCAAGGTTGTCAGCCCTATGCACCGGCCGAACTTTACCCCCAAGAATATTCCTGGTACTCATTTCTGTTAGATGCTGAGTCGACCCCAGAGCCATAGTGCAGCTGGAAGGATTAGGTCAATTGAAAAAATCCAATGACCTCATTGGGACTTGAACCTGTGACCCTCTGGCTTGTCGCATAGTGCCCCAACCAAGTACACTACCGCATGTGGCTGTGGCAATGGTGGTGATCATAATGATGCTGGTTGTCATCATGGTGAAGATGGTCACTGATGAATGTCTCTATCAGCGGAAAGTTATGTAGAGTCAAGAATTCAATCACTGCATACTGTTAATGCCACAGTGAAATCGTCTCCTTACAATGCATCATTTTCATGCCTCTAATTCAGAGAGCTCTACTGAGTGAACTATGAAACTTCATACAAATGTGTGGAAAGATCTAACTGAATGAGTACAATTTAGTTCACATCACCACATAAGTTCCTTTCTTAGAAAGAAAAATGGAGGCATTACGTTTCAGCATGCCCTCATATTTTTATTTTATGCACTCGCTGCAAAGATTGAGCAAAAAGAAATGGGGGGGGGGGATCAACAACACCAACACTTGCAAGTAGATGGTTCCCAGATTACCGGTGTGGTGGTTTTACATTCACAGATGTTAAATTCGGCAGTGGAGTCGACCACAAGGATTGCATTAAACTCAAAAGTCAGAATGAAAAATTCTCCTAATTTCTAACATTATACAGTATATGATCTTTTTTGTTGCTGAAACATAATTCCTGATTTTTCAAGAGGAATTCCATGTGAATATAATTTTCATTATTAACTTTTTGACTAGCACGAAGGGTATTTAAATGCCACCCTTGTCCTGGCAGACCCTTTAAGCTTTAAGTCGCTAAAATGCATGTGTTTACTTTTTTTAAATAATTGAAAAAAAAAAGGTCTTTAAAAACAAAATTTTCAGGAACTAATAAAGACAATATTTTATGCAAAAAATATCTTTTCGTACCTTTTTAGTAGTTATTCTTTGTGTGATAAATGTTGAAACATGAAAGTTTGCAGAGCCACACCACAGCTTGCGCACATGACACTTGTTTCTTTTCTAATCTTGTGCTTAGCACACACGCGACACTTTCTCATGCAGTGGAGTCAACCACAAGGATTGCATTAAACTCACAAGCCAGAATGAAAAATTCTCCTAATTTCTAACATTATACAGTAAATGATCTTTTTTTGTTGCTGAAACATAATTCCTGATTTTTCAAGAGGAATTCCATGTGAATATATATTTTCATTATTAAGCTTCATTATAATTAACAAAGAACGTTTTCAGACCAGTTCGGATGTACACAGTGTTAACATGAGAAACACGCACCATCTCCATAGACCGGTTGCTAACTTGACATGTTTTCAGAAAAACGCATATTATTCTGGCATTAAAAATTTTCAACAATCTACCATCTAGTCTCAAAAGTTTAACAAATGAAAAGGCGCAATTTAAATTAGCACTGAAACAATTCTTAAATACACACTCATTCTAATCTGTTGATGATTTCCTACTGTCTAAAGACGACTCGTCCTTTTATAAGGTTATGTACATAGCATAAGCTGACAGTATTGACTTATATATGTGGATGTATTTTTTCTTGTCTCAGTTGTACTGTATGTATGGCTTCTGTATTTGTATAACTTGTTCCACATTCTACAGTCATTCTGACTCACTCTGGATCTACGGAATGTAATGTATGTTTTTGTACGTCTGAGATGCTGTGGTGACTTTTCACTTGATCACTGACCACAATTGTTTAGTGGCAAATTTACAAAGACTGTTGATTTATCCATTCCCCTTGTGTTTTATGCAGTGAGGAAAACTCCGTAATGAATAAAGACTATCTTCAAAAATGCACTGGTTTAAACACTGATAATAAAATTTTGAAAATACACCGGATTTCAGGAGGCAAATGGAATTCCTCCAAGTGCCTGAGATTTAGAATTTACAGCAAATGATCTTTAGAAGTAGTCATATAGTTTAATAAATTTTGGGAACATGATTAATTCTTAACTCTTAAACTGCTGTCATTATTATTAGTCATTATCTGCACAAAGTGAGAGCTTAAAGGGAATGACACATCAGTCTGTCAGTCAAATATTTAATCTCTGAAACAACTGACTAGAATTCAATGAAATGTAGTACTGTGGGTCTACACAATAAATTGCTCGGAAAATTAAAAAGTGGTTTGTATTGTTCCAATACAGCATGTGCTTTATACAAAGTTCAAAACGACTATCATGTTTTTTTAAAAATAACTTGTTACATGTAGTAACCAGTATATGATATGAAATATGGAAATCCTTAACTTCTGTGTTAAAAATTTGTTATAAATGAATAAAAATATCCATGTCTGTATAGCATGTTTGTAGTGTGGTTATCTTTACAACAGCAGAGTTGTATCTGTAATACATAAGCATCACAACCAAGGAGGCATCCAAATAATTTTCCCTTCACCTTCTTCAGTCATTAGTTTATGGATATGCATGACTTTAGAGCCAGGATAGCTCAGGTACTACAGTAACTTGACTATGGGGTAGATGGTTGAGGAACTGGGGTTCTATTCCTGAGGGAGCATAGATCTTAATCTTAATCATAGAGTCCAGACGCTGGGGCCCTATTCAAAGGGTATCCAGGGCTCCTTCCCTGGAAGTAACACAGCCAGAGCAAGGAGGTGACCACTGACTTCCACCTAGTTGTAAAATTAAATATGTACAGTTATACTTTATGGTGCTTAATTAAGCACAGGGACAGCTTCAACTTTACCTTCATGTAGGACATTATGCCATTAATTTGTAACTTCAGAATGCAAAATCAGCTTCAGATATTTTGTATATTTACTATGACTGGTGATGTATGATATTATGGTTTATTACCAGTCTTTTTCAGCTTCAACGTTTGTTTTGACTGCAATTTGGATTACATGAAATTCTTCTGCCCAGCTCATGTGTTCAGTTTATGTACTTATGCTGAGCCACATAAGCAGCATAAAGTTTGCTGCTGTAGCGCGCACGCACACACGCGCGCACGCACACACACACACACACACGCACGCGCGCGCGCGCACACACACTGCAACAAGAGTATACTTCTGACAGCTACGAATAATAAGGGACATACTTGCTGCGGTCTGAGGGGGCTATGGAACGTCCATTGCCTTTCTGAATATGAACTTCTTTGACATGACGAGCAAGACGCTGGGCATTTGGGAAGGGTGGAGCTCCCTTTTTGATACGTCCACATCCCCGCCACTGACACTGGAATTCACAGTCTGAAACATTGAATTAGAAAACATCTGATCTATTAAAATATTCTGCACTCTGTTAAGAATGTAAATATGTTAATTGTGATTACTGATGATATTGTGACATGACAACTGAAAGATGAAATAGTGGAATGAATAAAGGCAGCCAAACAAGTTTCTGCAGCAACAAATCAACATGCAACAAAAAAGGAACTGTTGAAACCAGTGTTTTCTATGCAGTCTGAGCTGAGGCTACACAACAGGGAGCAACAAAAGATGGATCTTAGGCACATGTAGAAATGATTGAAGCCAAGGCCTTCAGAACATTTATTAGAATCTACTCCATATTCAGAACTGAGCGTTTAAGTGTCAACATTACACTAATCCTCCATAAAGCAACGACTTATGCTTGCCCTGCCTGGCAATTAATGCCAGACATTACCTACTAAAATTGCAGCATCTGCAAAACAAGGTTCTCTGTCCCACTAATAATTTTCCAAAGTGCACACCAGTTCACAATTTGCATACAGCTTTCAACCTTCCATAGGTACATGATTACATAACAAAACTGTGCAGGCAACAAGCATTACCATGTTCACAAGAGTCATCCACTGGTCCTTATCCTAAGCCAGATCAATCCAGTTCATACCACCCCATTCTATCACTCTAAGATGTATTTTAATATTATCCACCCAGCTATGTCTTGGTCTCCTTACTGGTCTCTTTCCTTCTGGCTTCCCCACCAATATCCTATATGTAGTCCTCTTCACCCCCATTCCTGCTACAGGGCAAGACCATCTCATCCTCCTTCACTCTATTATTATAATTATACTTGTTGAAGAGTATAAGTTATGAAGCTCTTCATTATGCAGCTTTCTCCAGTCTCACACCACTTCATCTCCCTTTGGTCCAAATATTCTCCTCAGCACCATGTTCTCAAACACCCCCAGTCTACATTCTTCCCTTAACTGCAGACACCAAGTTTCACAACCATACAGGACCACAAGCAAAATTATAGTTCTGTATATTCTAATTTTCATGTTCTTAGACAGCAAATGAGAAGACAGAAGGTTCTGGACTGAATGGTAGCAAACATTACCAGAATCTCCTCTTGAATCAAATTTTGATTTCTTACTGTCATTCCCAAATATTTGAACTGTGCCATGTTTCCAAAGGATCTGTTGGCTATCTTTATGTTATGATTTTGCTCTGCATTATGGTGACAAGATGGTAAAATGTTTACTTCTACATATGATATAAACTCCGTCCCAAGTGCAACAATTTGTTGTAGGTCTTTCGTTTTGCTTTCTTCTACACTACATGTTTCGGCCGCAAACGGCCATCATCAGGTGTATACACTCACGTAGCTGTTACACTGCACCCAGTTTAAAACTTAAAAACACACAGGTCTTCCCAATTGGCTAACAAGATCTACTTCGCTGATATTTGTCTGATTCGTACATCATCTCTGCCACCCACACACGTCAATTTTGACCTTCATGAACTGGCACTTTTAAAATCTTCAGTTCCAATTTTAGAAAATTCTTTTAAATTTTTTTCCAAACATGTAGTGTAGAAGAAAGCAAAATGAAAGACCTACAATAAATTGTTAATGGAGTTTATATCATATATCGTATAGAGTGTAACAGGATGCTTAAATATAATATTGTTTACTTCTAGACCAATCTTCTTACTAGAGCCAATTAAAGTTTCTGTCTCTTTCTTTATGGTATCCATGTTATCTCCTAGTAGATTCACATCATCAGCATAGACCAACAGCTGATGTATCCCATTTAATTTCAGTCCCAACTGGTTTTCCTGGTCCTTCATAATGTCATATTCTAAAGCAAAGTTTTAAAGCAGTGACCATAAAGCATCTCCTAGTTTTAGACCATTTTGGATAGGAAAAAATTATCAAACAGAGGCTTAACTATATAGTCTTCACTAAACGTTTCATTTAAACACATTTTAATCAGCCTAAATAGTTTCATGGGTACCCCATACTCTGTGGGAATACTGCACAATACTTCCCTCCTAACTGAACCATAGGCTTTCTTGAACTCATTGTACTCCAGTTCTTTATCAAGTATCTGGCAAATGCACAAAATCTGATCAGTAATTGATCTGTTACATTAAAACCCATGCTGATGATCCCCAATAACTTCTTCTATATATGGACTTAACCTCAACAGAAGGATATTAGATAAAATTTTGCATGAAGTTGATAACAGTGATATCACACAATAATTACCACAGCAAGTTTTATTGTCCTTCTTGTGAATTGGTACAATAATAGCCTCCATCCACTGATCTGGGAATTCTTCCTTATTCCAAATAGGATTAATGAGTTTATGGATCTCAGATCATGACATTTCACATCCTGCTGCGAGTTGATCACTACCTGGCGATTTATACCTTTTCAACTTTGCAATAGCAATTTCAACTTCAAAAGGGCTAGGATCAGGTATTAACAGCTCAGCTATATGTATATCTATCTGCCTAACATCACTGATCCTATGTCCATTCAATAACTGAGAGAAGTAGTTTTTTCACCTATTCAAAACATTATGGGAATCTGCAAGCAGATCACCATTCTTATCCTTCACTAAGTCACTTCTAGGTTGGTAATCCCTCCTAGATACATTTCGGTCTTCATTGCTGTGCTTGCTAATGTCTTTAAACAGCTGACATTCCTCTGCTTCTGGGCTCACATCCTCGTAGGCTGGCTGCCATCCTACACCAACCTCCTACTCTTCCAACTGCCATTTCAGACTATCATAATGGCAGTTGGTCCTCATTATATTGCCTCAACACAGACCACAAAGAAAACACCGCTTCCAACAGTGACTTCACTGTTGTGTTACACAGCCATTACCTAGCAATTGTTGTTTTTCTGGCTCTACAGTTCCTGCTTTGAGCAAATATGCCACCAATATATTATACAATATCAATAAGCACATACTAAAATAATAAAAAGATGGTTGGAGGTTTGGATGCTGGAGACTGTAGACAAAAATGATCTCTACAAACCCAGTACCTAGATTCCTGTCCACTGTACCAGCCAGTCAATTTCCAGGTGTACTCACTGAAATGTGAATTTTTATAGTAACATAATACACAATCTATCTGGCAACTATAATTTTCAGCATGCCTAGGAATGTCTGACAGGGCAACATCTTGTGAAACCTGATCTCCTAGCTGTCACACTGCTCAGAAAGCTAAAGCAACTTTGGTATCCTTTATACTTACATTTTCTTTGTTATCAACTTCTCAAGATAACAGTTTATTTGCCTTTATGATTAACATGTCAGCTCTGCACAGCCATCAGCCACTGACATCTATCAATAAGTAAATGAACTTCTAAACTGGCAGGGCAATTAAATAAGTTTCTTGTGCTCCTGTTGCCTAAATTTGTGTTTGACTGACATAAATTTTCTCCTGAACAAAGATGGTGCATTCATGTCAATCCTCTATGCCTTTATGATCCTGAACACAACTAGAACATGGCCCAAAATAGTATATTTATCTTTCTCAACTACTTCACATTTTTAGCAATCAGGAGCAACATTCTCACTTACAATCACCAACAACTAAATTTTAAAGCAATAGTCAAACATATACCAACAACCTTCTTTAACCTTTATCGGCCGGGCCATTTAATTTCCGGTAGGGGCAGCTGGAGGGAGTTTATTTAAATGCCCGCCCTTCTAGAGCAATGAAATTGTAAGCATGTTTCTAAAAATGGTGTGATTTCTACATTTTTTATGATAAACGAACGAAATGAACGCTCCTTTAATGTAGAAAGAATATAGAATCAGATATTCTAATTTACAGATTTTAATATCTGTAAAAAAATTTTACACTGATTCCCAAAATAAAATTTCCCGAAATTCATACATTTTCTGCACCATGCGTTCTAGCAGTGTAATACACTTTCTGCACCATGCGTTTTAGCAGTGTAAGTCCTTGTGGCGACTTCACATTCAATGGTATCTCTTGTTGTAGCTTATTTATCGTATGGGACATGTCGCTATGCACGACTGTACTCGTCTGAATTTCCTCGCTGCCTAATGTGTTAGATAAACACAGGAGTTAATTCTCGGAATATGGTGTTGCCAGATCGGTCATTCGTTCATTCATTGCAGTCAAACCATTGTGTTTGTAACGATTTTGAAACATCGCAATATAAGGTTAGCCACCCATGACATCATGAAGCAGATA